CCAAACTCCTTTTCCTAGTTCTCTCCAAACTCTCTTACCTCGTACTCTCCAAACTCTCTCCCTCGTTCTTCTCCTCCTCCAAACTGTCTTCAACTGTATTCTTCAATCTCTCTTTTCCCACAGTTCCGTTACTACGCAGCTGACAGGCTTCCGTACATTCGACCTTCGCTTTTATTTGTGCGGAGTTATTTACTCCTCACAAAAGTCCCTATAGTTGGCAGTTTTGTTCAGGAACTTATTTTTCCTAGATTTGCTGATAACTATGAAGATACCTGTATGCATTGTAAAGTGCAGAACTTGTGTGAATGTATTTTTCGAAATTAGTTCACTGTTTTTTTAAAGCCCTTTTTGCTCTGCTATTTTTTTTATATCAAATTTGACAAAAGCCATGTTCTTTAATTCCATCCGCATTATTAGCTACTCGCACGGCTGTTTCAGTTCCTTTTATTACTAATTTAAAAATAATACAGAATTTGGAGAAACTTAAGTTCAGGGTGGGTGTACTGTTAACTTGAAATGAAATAGGCAGAACATTGTCACTTAATTTATTGATAAAGCGAGAACTATGTATAGCCGAAGTTGATAACAGCGTGCACTTTAAAAATATTCATATAACAAGAAAGGTATGGATCCAAAATAATTTCAACCATTGATAAAGCGAGAACTATGTATAGCCAAAGTTGATAACAGCGTGCACTTTCAAAATATTCATATGACAAGAAAGGTATGTATCCAAAATAAATTAAACCATAATTTATCCGGCGGTATGCCAAGATCCCTGTGGATGTTTTCGTTCCGAACATACCATGGTGCCCAGTGATTGTTCGCAAGATTTATGATTGTGAGCGCTGTATAATGTGAACGTTTCTGTTGCTCGCGTTCCGCTAAAGATGGGAGCCGTAAGTCCAAATGGGCTTAAGGGTGGAGTTGTAGAGCAGGACTTTGAAGTCCAGAACGAGAATTTATAATCCAGTGAAGGCTTCTGACTTCAAATTCAGCGGGAGGCACGATTGTCTGTCAAGGGTAAACGTTATATGTTAACACTTTTGTTCATTAATTTTGATATGACAGTCTGATAGCCACCAGGAAATTATCTGCTAGTTGAGCTGTTGCTCTAGTTGGGCATCTCGAGCATCCCAGGATTGCGGTGTCGCCAGCATATGTGGACGTAGACATCCTGCCTTTTGTAGGAATGTCTGCGGTGTATAGGACAAATAAAGTAGGGCTCAGTGCGCTACTTTGTGGAACTCCAGCTTCAATGTTATACTCGTTGTTGCATTGCACCGCGAAGATTCTGTGGTAAAAGGACTATTCAAGTAACTTATGAGTGTTTTCTGGAAGTAATGCTATGATTTTTGAGACATTTACGAATATCGCACCACAATATTCCCAATGTTCAAAGGCTGTAGGAATTTCTGGTGTTATCCGGTTGACTTGCTCGATTGTTGCATGGCTTTCTCGAAACCCGAATTGATGTGCTGGGATTACATTTTGAGCTGTTAGATATGGTGTTATGCGCGTGAGCAGGGATTTTTGGAGAGGTACGATAACATATTTTTGTGTATTACTCAAGTTTGCATATAACATCCACTGCACAGTTTGGAAGTTCAATTATCATTTTGGGGGTTATTAAGTCACCTCCTGGAGCCTTTTTGGTTTTAATTGCTTCCTAATGACATTAATAATTTCAAGTGCTCGAAACACAATCGGCTCACTTGAGCGACGGTAGATCACAAGAGTTTGTGGCTGCGTTTGGCTAAAATACAATTCGTAGGTGTAAAGCAAACGTTTCAGCTTTGTCTTCATCAAGGACCCGATTAGTTTCTAATCGGAGTGACTGATTCTATCGGATAGCTTAAATTTGGATGAGCTCTCCACAAAGGATGCTTTGTACTGGTCGGTGATAATTTCTCATGTACGCTCTTCTTCTTCTTCTTTAGGGTTTTGGTAAGTCTCCGGGTGGCTTCGTTTAAAAGTTGCTTCGCATGCACTATGGGGTCAACGACCACTTTGGTTGGCCAAAACCCATTTTTGAAAAGTCGTAAAATCCAAAAAAGTTGTTTTAGGATACACTAACAGAAGACCAATCTGCAATGCTTCGTTTCAGGAATTCCGATAGCGGGCGCTTCTGTTAAGATAACATGTGTTAAATCAGATGTTTAAGACGAAAGCCTCGTGCTTTTGAAATTCGACTTATATATTGCAGTTTTAAAGTGTTTAAAAGAACAGTTTAAAAGCGTTCCAAAAAAATTTTGTGATATAATTTCGATGAATGGTGGTGTATACTAAGTGTTTTTGTGCTTAAACATTTGAAATCTATCATGTTGTCCTTTTACTTAAGTGTTAAAGTAAGTTGTCTAAAACTAGTTTTTTAATTAGAAAGCAAACTTTTAAGTAGAGCAACAAAGTGAGTCCAGCGGAGTCCACTTCTGAAACCTATTCAGATTTGTAGAGTATTAAATTTTGTTAAAATGTATATTGTTAGAATCGCCACTTATTGCCACTTTTTCCGAAATTTTATTTTTAAGTACAAAACCTCAAATTTTGCAGCTTTGACAGTAGTTTCGATATAGATAAGAATATTTTTGATTTTCAATGCATTATTGGACTTTAATTCGAAGAGCATGAGTTTTTGTAGCAGGTGCCTTTGATATACTTATCAATACAACTTGTTTAAATTTTGTTAAAATGTATATTGTTAGAATCGCCACTTATTGCCACATTTTCCGAAATTTTATTTTTAAGTACAAAACCTCAAATTTTGCAGCTTTGGCAGTAGTTTCGATGAAGATAAGAATATTTTTGATTTTCAATGCATTATTGGACTTTAATTCGAAGAGCATGAGTTTTTGTAGCAGGTGCCTTTGATATACTTATCTATACAACTTGTTTAATCCGATTATTAAGCATTTACATTTCACCTTTGTGGAACGAAGAATATTTTGTATTGTATTTTTAATTCTATTCAGAAGCAGATATAAAAAATATAAAAAAAATATAATATAAATGTAATTATAAAGCATATAAAACAAAAAATTATTCGATTATCTTAAAAAACAAAGTTGAATAAATCGACCGTATGGCAGCTATGAGATATATTCGTTCGATCCTGTTCTTTTTAACATATATGGTGCCTAAGGATACCATAAAATGATTTGTAAAGTTTTATCTTGATATCTTTAAAATTGAGCGAGTTATTAATTTTGGCCAACAAAAGTGGTCGTTGGCCCCATAGTGGAATAAGGCGATCTGCTGGATTGGCAAGCGTCGTAGGCGGGATTTTTCCCGAACAAGTATTTCGATTTGGTTCATTCTGAGAGCGTGCAGGTTTAGCTTGTTGAAGCCGAGTCTTCAGCTCTTTATAGGCTGAGCAGATTCTCTAGTTTGCGGTATACTTTCCTACACAGTTAGCGGAATTTATCGATTTTGGGTCTTATTTGCTTGCAGAGAACGGTTCAAAGTTGTGGAAGCCTCCACAAGCTACGCAGACTGATCGAAGTCCGCAGTTGTTTCTGTGTGTCCGTACTCTTGGCAGTTTGTGCATTGCAACAGACCATTTCGCTTATACGGTTCTTTAACACTAATCCTTCTATACAACAGGAATTGCCATTTGTAGATCGGGTGCCCTTGGGTTTTCTTCGAGGCTCTGCTTTCTGGATCCAGTTCGACCTTAAATAGTGGTTGCGGCTTTTTATTTCTGTTGATTATGTGGATAATATTATTTACGACAAGAAAGGAAAGCTAACTTCGGGCGGAGCCGAAGTTGATATACCCTTGCAGAATATTCTGTGAACTATATTCTCCAAAATTATTCATATGATGCATTTTCATCATACTCATAAAATTCCTAACTTTAAAAAGACCAAAGTTTTGGGATTTCCAACCGTTCAGTTATATGGCAGCTATAGGATATAGTCGGCTGATCCTTATGAAATTTGGTAGGTCCGGATTGATTGGCCAAATATAAAACCCATAGAAAATCCCAACTTCCTAACTTTACAAACACTAAAGTTATGGCATTTCCGATCGTTCAGTTATATGGCAGCTATAGGATATAGTCGGCCGATTCCGGCCGTTCCGACTTATATACTGCGTGCAAAGGAAAGAAGGGTGTGTGGGAGACTAGTTCGCGTATAAACAGACAGACAGACAGACAGACAGACGGACAGACAGACAGACGGACAGACGGACATGCTCATATCAACTCAGGAGGTGATCCTGATGAAGAATATATATACTTTATAGGGCCGGCGATGTCTCCTTTACTGCGCCGCTTTTTGAGCTTTTTTCGCTCATAGTTCTATAACGTCTTTTCGCTGTTATAAGAGTTCTATGGATACGAGTATTGGTAGAGCAATGTTTAATCCGGGAACTCAAATACTTTTGGCATTTCAGCCAGTTAGTTTTGTGATACATCAGCCTGTGAGGGTGCTCGATTGTTTCTGGGCTTATAGTGGCCAGCTGACCAGTATAGGGCTGGCAGTTTGTTGCTCAAATTTATGATGGCATTTTATAGTAGCCTCCCGTTTAAGTTAGTTGTAGAAGTCAATGAATTGTCCTTCAGATATGGGCAGTGTTTTACACCATTGTTGTTAGGCCTTAGGTGTTTGATCCGATTTCTGAGAGCCGACAATCGTCGTGATGAGCTTTGGGGTCTTGTTTTCTTTATTTTACCGTTTTTATTAGTATTTATAACACTATTTAATGATTTTAATGGGAACCTGAGCACACATACCCATTCCTACCCTGAGAGCTCTTTTGCGATTAGACATCGGTTAGATATAAAAATACGTCTGATGTCGTTGACAATTGAATTTGAATTATTTTTGTCATTCTGACCGTCTAGCTCTAGGAGCGCAATCATATCATATTATCATACTCCATTAGCGCAGAAGTAATCAAAACACAAATTTTCCATCCCTAAATAAACTTGAGGATACTAATTTCTTAGTTTAATTTTCCCCTAAATCCCTAAATAAGCTAAAGGTTTTTTTTTTTAGGTGAAACTGCTGCTCCTAGGTGCTGGGGAATCTGGCAAGTCTACTTTCCTTAAACAAATGCGTATCATTCATGGTGTTAATTTCGAGTACGAACTGCTCCGCGAATACCAAAATGTGATATACCAAAATGTTATTAGAGGTAAATATCTATTTTTATTGACCAGAAATTATTTCGTCTCAATAAACTGTCGTTTAAGGTATGCAAGTCTTGTTGGACGCTCGCGAAAAGTTGGACATCTCGTGGGGAAGCGACGGACGAGAACAGGATGCCAGCGATGCCAAATTAATGGAATGCAATGCAATTGAATCCGTTAGGTTTATTGAATATGCACCACAAATACGCCGCCTGTGGCAGGATCGCGGCATTAGAAGAGCTTTTGAAAGAAGACGTGAATTTCAAATTGTATGCTTACCTAATGCGCCAAGTGGATTTTGTTTAAATTTTTCTCATGTGAATTTTCAGAGCGATTCTGTAAGCTATTTTCTGGACGAAATTGAGCGGCTAGCTAAACCTGATTATGTCCCAACACATAAGGATATTTTGCATTGCAGGAAGGCAACGAAAGGGGTATATGAGTTTTGTGTTAAAGTCCAGGTAAGTGAATTATATAAAACCATGATATTATCACTAAAGGATCGGTGATTTATAGAACATTCCATTTGTATTCGTCGATGTGGGTGGTCAGCGAACTCAGCGTCAAAAATGGACTAGATGTTTTGATAGCTCCGTGACGTCAATTATATTTCTTGTATCTAGTTCGGAGTTCGATCAAGTGCTTGCGGAAGACAGGTAAATTATTACCCAATGCCTGACCATGATTAACCTGAAACGTTACTGTTGCAGGAAAACCAATCGTCTGGAAGAATCAAAGAATATATTTGATACCATTGTCAACAATAATACGTTCAAAGGAATATCAATTATTTTATTTCTGAACAAAACTGACTTGCTCGAACAGAAAGTTTGCAATCCTGAGACTGACATTCGCTGGTACTATCCGCAATTTAATGGCAATCCACACTCAGTTTTAGATGTCCAGAACTTCATACTCCAAATGTTTATGATCGTTCGTCGCCGTAACAGCACCAGTAGGATCTACCACCATTTTACAACTGCCATTGATACGCGAAACATTAATGTAGTGTTTAATTCGGTAAAGGATACAATTCTGCAGCGTAATTTAAATGCTCTAATGCTGCAGTAGCATTCTACCGCTAGCTCTGACAACCTTTATAGATTATGATTTTTGGCTTTATATAAATCCATTTAAAAAGTGAAAGTGCCTCAAATAAAAATTTCACAATCCTGAGACTGGTACTATCCACAGCTTCCTGGCAATCCACTCTTAGTTTTTGAAGGCAAAAACTTCGCACTGCAAATGTTTGACCACGATCGTCGCAGTAGAAGTACGAGATGGATATAACATTAGCTTTTAATGCCATATATACGGTCATCATTTATATAGTTTTTTATTCGGTAAACGCTAAATCCTAGCAGTTCTGATCCTGAATTCGTATTCTCTTAACGTGTAATATATGCTTTCTCTTATATACATACCTACAAAAGAAAAAATAGTGCCAGATGCCAGGAGCCTTTATTTTTAATAAAAGGCCCAGTTGTTGTTAACTTTTTAAATTGGTTTGACTATTTAGTAACTTTGTATTAAATAAAATTGTTACTTTTAAAATTTAAATTGAGTATGATAATAGTAATCTAACTGTACATATATAAATTAAGCTTCCGGATTCTGTACGCAAACAGACTTAACGCCATATGCATATATAAACTAACCCAAAAATAAAGAAGGGTTTTCAAACCTGTTCACAAATATAATTTCTCTTTGCTTTATCAACTTATATTTTATGTTTATATGACTGACAATTAAGACGATTAAGAGCTAAGATCACCGCATTTCTAAACACCATGTTTTGAACAACACCAGAAATCTCTTGCAACGTTTCCGTGCGTCATTTGCTTTAAACTCCGACTTATAACTGTGGATTAAACCAGGACTCAACACAATCAAAATCAAAACAGTGTATTGCAAAGCGGAATCAAAAACCGACCAGTTTCGATTTCTACTGGTATTTTTGGGATTGTCCCACTGTTATGATAACCTATTTCACTAAATTTTAAAACTTTTAAATTGGTTTGACTCGATGGGTTTTTCCGTTTGAGGGCCAAAGACACAGCGATGTGCAATCGTAGAACGCAGAATAAATGAATAGGCAGGTTTACTGTATTGTGCAAATAGAGAGTTAAAATATTTGTATCCCACAAAGTAAAACTCTATGCTAGAGGCAGTAAATGTCTATTCTGGCTCTCAGTTACAAACTCACTCTCATGGAGAGCAGACGTGCCTTCACTGCCATCAAAGCAAACCCAAAACATAACAAAAACCAGGAACAACACTTAGCAAATCTTAACAGTAACCACAAGTGCGCAAAGCAACTGTTCAAAACACAGTGACGGCGTGATGGGGAATTCCCCCGATCACCTCCAACCACAAAAACCTACCTACCCTTAATTGCTTATCATAAATAGATGCGGAGAGGTTGACGACTGCAAAAAACTTACAAAGGGAACACTACTCAAACAAAAACAAACCTTCTAGTCAATAGTTTGCTGCAATTGAAAGCTTTTGCACCCGACATTAAAATCGAAGTAGTCTCTCCACAAGACACTAAACTTAACCAAAGGTGTCATATATTCAAACGACCCAAGATTAAGAGCCGAAAACACTATTTAGAAAGAACTAGCTATTCAGGAAGTTTACGAAGTAAAAAATTAAAAAGGGACAACGGCACATTTAAAGAGATTTGTATCATAAAATTACATCTGGTTGTCATGATCTTCCAAATCATATTAAAATTGGCTATCAAAGGACCACGGTAAGGGAATACTTACCACTACCGTTAAATTGTGCCACTTGCACAAGTACTGCAAAAACAAATCTGCTATAACTGCGGAGAAGACCACCACACAAGATAAATGCACAAGATCCCTAAAATAAATGTATTAATTACAAGGACGAACAATTCAATTACATCACAACACTACACCTCTACATAATACAGGACCTCAACAACTCAAAGGACCTAAACTCACACATTAAGGACAGACTTCTTCCCGGAAACAACCAAAATCATACGCAGACCTATTTACAGATAATAAAATAGACTCTTTAAATCCAACCCACTCAATCCCCAAACCAACCCAGTTGAAATCCCACCGCTCTCTACATCAAAACGTATGCTAGCAACTCTCAAAGCCGCAAACAAAAAAATCATATCAAATTCTACTAAACCTGGGCCAACCAACACACACACTTATAAACTAATGAAATGCCCAAATAATTCAATGGAACATGAAAGGTATCGAATTAAGAACTCAAATACTTATTGTTGGGACACTCACGGTCCCGGAGGGTTTCCACTTCTTCCAAGCTCTAGTTCACAGCATACAGATAGCTGAAATCTAATCAAATTATAAACATTTTTTCTTACACTTGTGGTTTCCCGCTCTTCAACTTCTAATATCATCACTTTCTTCTTCTTACATTCTTAAGTTTTCCAATACTAACAATAAAGAGATGACACTGACCAGCAGCGTTGAAAAACTTAACAGTGTTTTTAAACTAATAGAGTTTAAATTTAAATAAATCGACTTTTGAAATTGGAGAGTTAGCGCGCGGCTAAACCTTCTTATTAGCCTCGCAACATTCCCCAGCTCGTGATTCTTTTTCTTGACTACGCAGAGTATTTCCAATCCTTATGATGTCCAATTTAGCCAGTTTAACTGTACAACACCGCTACGAACTTGTCCATCCTTCGCCAAATGAACATCCACGACGATCCCTTTATGCAGGAGTTTCGCTTGCTTGTTTTATCAACAATAAGAACCACGTTATTCACGGAAATTGGAGCTGGGTTCGGCAGATACCATTTGAACGTCTCGTCAGGGTGGGTAGATACTCTCGAATCCATCTTCTCCAGAAACGATCTGCTAGTTGACCAGCGATGCGGAAATATTTGGCCGTCGGATTCCATCGCACCGCGTTCCCGTTGACCACTGGAGTTACCAACCAAGAAGTGGTTTGGTGTAAGAGCTTCCGAATTTTCCGATTCCAACGGAATATAGGTCAACGTCCTTGAGTTTAAAGTGCATTCGACATCGGCCAACGCAGCGCGCAATACTTCCGCAATACTTAGCGCAGTCCGACGTTCGACAGAATTTCCGTCAGGATTGACTTTGTAGAACGCACCATACGCTCCCAGCTGCAGCCCATATGAGGCGATCCCAGAGGAATAAAGGTAAACGACATCTCCGGATACTTGCTTTCCACTGCTGACGTTGATATACGTTCGATCTCTTGCGCGAGTACTCTGCTGGCTCTCCAAAAATTCGGATAGCAACTTAAGAAGCACATTTCTGCGAGCAGTAAATAGTTTTAGAGCTAATAAAAATGAGTCCGTTGAAAGAGATGGCACCAATTCTAAATGAACAGCGCGAACTGTTAGCCAAGTAAATAAAACTTCCCATCTCTTCTCGCGACGCCTTCCTAAAGCAACTTCAATCGGTCCAAAGTAGTCTACTCCAGTAAACGTAAATGGCAGTGTATGTGGCGATAGAATCGGTGGAATGGGTTGTGCTCGCCCGATGCAGCACACGGGACAGTTATTGATGATTTCCTTTACAAGGGCTCGCAGGCCTTTTGTCGTATTTCGTTGACAACTATCTCTGCATGCAGATGGTCGTACTCCCGGTGGTGATACTCTACTATAAGGTATGCAATCCTGTGGTGACGCGAAAGTATGTAAGGATGCTCTCAGTCGGATCCAGAGTCCTTTTAAAAGAAATTTGTAAGATCACTGAGACACTGGGCTAGAGCGTAATGTCCACGGGCTGATCCTTCGGGCGAGGCCGTAGCCGGGTTTTATTGTACGTGGCCGAGGTGTGAGGGTCGTGGGGTTAAAGATTCCACGCTCTGGACATTCGGGCGAGGCCGCAGCCGGATTCTGTCGTCGTTGGCCGGCTAGAAGCAAGTTTGATTAGTCATGTCGGAAGGATCTGTCGTTCCGCTACGATGGGGGATTAGTGGGGCAAAGAAATTAAGAATAAAGAAATTAAATATTTAAAAGAAAATCATATTAAATTAAAAGATTTGCATTTTCATCATATTTCCGGACATGCTTTTTTTAGGAATCGGATTAATAATAACAATAATCATGGTAATATGCTGCTGGATTGGCAAGCGTCGTAGGCGGCGTTTTTCCTGAACAAGTATTTCGATTTGGTTCATTCTGAGAGCGTGCAGGTTTAGCTTGTTGAAGACGAGTCTTCAGCTCTTTATAGGCTGAGCAGATTCTCTAGTTTGCGGTATAATTTCCTACACAGTTAGCGGAATTTTTCGATTTTGGGTCTTATTTGCTTGCAGAGAACGGTTCGAAGTTGTGAAAGCCTCCACAAGCTATGCAGACTGATCGAAGTCCGCAGTTGTTTCTGTGTGTCCGTACTCTTGGCAGTTTGTGCATTGCAGCAGACCATTTCGCTTATACGGTTCTTTAACACTAATCCTTCTATACAACAGGAATTGCAATTTGTAGATCGGGTGCCCTTGGGTTTTCTTCGAGGCTCTGCTTTCTGGATCCAGTTCGACCTTAAATAGTGGTTGCGGCTTTTTATTTCTGTTGATTATGTGGATAATATTATTTACGACAAGAAAGGAAAGCTAACTTCGGGCGGAGCCGAAGTTGATATACCCTTGCAGAATATTCTGTAAACTATATTCTCCAAAATTATTCATATGATGCATTCTGCATACTCATAAAATTCCTAACTTTAAAAAGACCAAAGTTTTGGCATTTCCAACCGTTCAGTTATATGGCAGCTACAGGATATAGTCGGCTAATCCTTATGAAATTTGCTAGGTCGGATTGATTGGCCAAATATAAAACCCATAGAAAATCCCAACTTCCTAACTTTACAAACACTAAAGTTATGGCATTTTCGATCGTTCAGTTATATGGCAGCTATAGGATATAGTCGGCCGATCCCGACCGTTCCGACTTATATACTGCGTGCAAAGGAAAGAAGTGTGTGTGGGAGCTTTTTTCGCTCATAGTTCTATAACGTCTTTTCGCCGTTATAAGAGTTCTATGGATACGAGTATTGGTAGAGCAATGTTTAATCCGGGAACTCAAATACTTTTGGCATTTCAGCCAGTTAGTTTTATGATACATCAGCCTTTGAGGGTGCTCGATTGTTTCTGGGCTTATAGTGGCCAGCTGACCAGTGTAGGGCTGGCAGGGGAAAGTCCAGTTTGTTGCTCAAATTTATGATGGCATTTTATAGTAGCCTCCCGTTTTAGTTAGTTGTAGAAGTCAATGAATTGTCCTTCAGATATGGGCAGTGTTTTACACCATTGTTGTTAAGCCTTAGGTGTTTGATCCGATTTCTGAGAGCCGACAATCGTCGTGATGAGCTTTGGGGTCTTGTTTTCTTTATTTTACCGTTTTTATTAGTATTTATAACACTATTTAATGATTTTAATGGGAACCTGAGCACACATACCCATTCCTACCCTGAGAGCTCTTTTGCGATTAGACATCGGTTAGATATAAAAATACGTCTGATGTCGTTGACAATTGAATTTGAATTATTTTTGTCATTCTGACCGTCTAGCTCTAGGAGCGCAATCATATCATATTATCATACTCCATTAGCGCAGAAGTAATCAAAAAACAAATTTTCCATCCCTAAATAAACTTGAGGATACTAATTTCTTAGTTTAATATTCCCCTACATCCCTAAATAAGCTAAATAACCCTTTTTTGCTAATGGTTTTTTTTTTAGGTGAAACTGCTGTTCCTAGGTGCTGGGGAATCTGGCAAGTCTACTTTCCTTAAACAAATGCGTATAATTCATGGTGTTAATTTCGAGTACGAACTGCTCCGCGAATACCAAAATGTGATATACCAAAATGTTATTAGAGGTAAATATCTATTTTTATTGACCAGAAATTATTTCGTCTCAATAAACTGTCGTTTAAGGTATGCAAGTCTTGTTGGACGCTCGCGAAAAGTTGGACATCTCGTGGGGAAGGGACGGACGAGAACAGGATGCCAGCTATGCCAAATTAATGGAATGCAATGCAATTAAATCCGTTAGGTTTATTGAACATGCACCACAAATACGCCGCCTGTGGCAGGATCGCGGCATTAGAAGAGCTTTTGAAAGAAGACGTGAATTTCAAATTGTATGCTTACCTAATGCGCCAAGTGGATTTTGTTTAAATTTTTCTCATGTGAATTTTCAGAGCGATTCTGTAAGCTATTTCCTGGACGAAATTGAGCGGCTAGCTAAACCTGATTATGTCCCAACACATAAGGATATTTTGCATTGCAGGAAGGCAACGAAAGGGGTATATGAGTTTTGTGTTAAAGTCCAGGTAAGTGAATTATATAAAACCATGATATTATCACTAAAGGATCGGTGATTTATAGAACATTCCATTTGTATTCGTCGATGTGGGTGGTCAGCGAACTCAGCGTCAAAAATGGACTAGATGTTTTGATAGCTCCGTGACGTCAATTATATTTCTTGTATATAGTTCGGAGTTCGATCAAGTGCTTGCGGAAGACAGGTAAATTATTACCCAATGCCTGACCAAGATTAACCTGAAACTTTACTGTTGCAGGAAAACCAATCGTCTGGAAGAATCAAAGATTATATTTGATACCATTGTCAACAATAATACGTTCAAAGGAATATCAATTATTTTATTTCTGAACAAAACTGACTTGCTCGAACAGAAAGTTTGCAATCCTGAGACTGACATTCGCTGGTACTATCCGCAATTTAATGGCAATCCACACTCAGTTTTAGATGTCCAGAACTGCTGAAAGAGAGTTCCGACCCAGCCCAGAGTAGAAGTCGTGGGGAATTACTTATTAATGGAATTATAACTAGGTTTTTTATTTCAGTAAGTATCTTGACAAATTTATTAACAACTAACGAATTCTCCGGATTGGCGGGGTGCCGCCCTTGCAGCCTTCGCTTCCTTCTTACGCTTAGAATACCTGGTCTCGGGAGCCGTTCAGCTGCTCGACCAGCACGGGTTGGGTTACCTGAAATGAGAATAGGGTGCCTGGGGACCCTGAAGTCGGCCACGAGCGAGAGAGATCTATTTAGTGCTTGGGGACCCGAAAGTCGACCGCGAGAGAGAGAATGTTGCTTGGGGACCCTGAAGCCATCCACAAGAGAGAGAGAATTTGTTGCTTGGGGACCCTGAAGTCAGCCCCAAGAGAGAGAGAATTGGTTGCTTGGGGACCCTGAGGTCAGCCGCAAGAGAGAGAAGTTGGTGCTTGGGGACCCTGAGGTCAGCCGCAAGAGAGAGAAGTTGGTGCTTGGGGACCCTGAGGTCAGCCGCAAGAGAGAGAAGTTGGTGCTTGGGGACCCTGAGGTCAGCCGCAAGAGAGAGAAGTTGGTGCTTGGGGACCCTGAGGTCAGCCGCAAGAGAGAGAAGTTGGTGCTTGGGGACCCTGAGGTCAGCCGCAAGAGAGAGAAGTTGGTGCTTGGGGACCCTGAGGTCAGCCGCAAGAGAGAGAAGTTGGTGCTTGGGGACCCTGAGGTCAGCCGCAAGAGAGAGAAGTTGGTGCTTGGGGACCCTGAGGTCAGCCGCAAGAGAGATAAGTTGGTGCTTGGGGACCCTGAGGTCAGCCGCAAGAGAGAGAAGTTGGTGCTTGGGGACCCTGAGGTCAGCCGCAAGAGAGAGTGCTTACCACCACTGGGGAGTTGCCTCTGCACCCTTAGACGGTTGGCGGCTAAGTGCCTTTCCATGGCCCGTGGCCCGTCTTATATAGGGCTCGGCGAGATCTAGTGTGCCCGTTGTCTGTGGGATTTGCCAGGCTAAGTGTGACCATCTCTCTCTCGGTCTAGTGTGCCCCTATACGCGCGATCGTTGGCGCGCGCGCGTTCTCGGTTTGAATTTGAAATTAAATACTTCTTTTGTTTCATGCTTTTATTCTTATTAGAAGTACGAGATGGATATAACATTAACTTTTAATGCCATATATACGGTCATCATTTAAATAGTTTTTTATTCGGTAAACGCTAAATCCTAGCAGTTCTAATCCTGAATTCGTATTCTCTTAACGTGTAATATATGCTTTCTCTTATATACATACCTACAAAAGAAAAAATAGTGCCAGATGCCAGGAGCCTTTATTTTTAATAAAAGGCCCAGTTGTTGTTAACTTTTTAAATTGGTTTGACTATTTAGTAACTTTGTATTAAATAAAATTGTTACTTTTAAAATTTTAATTGAGTATGATAATAGTAATCTAACTGTACATATATAAATTAAGCTTCCGGATTCTGTACGCAAACAGACTTAACGCCATATGCATATATAAACTAACCCAAAAATAAAGAAGGGTTTTCAAACCTGTTCACAAATATAATTTCTCTTTGCTTTATCAACTTATATTTTATGTTTATATGACTGACAATTAAGACGATTAAGAGCTAAGATCACCGCTTTTCTAAACACCATGTTTTGAACAACACCAGAAATCTCTTGCAACGTTTCCGTGCGTCATTTGCTTTAAACTCCGACTTATAACTGTGGATTAAACCAGGACTCAACACAATCAAAATCAAAACAGTGTATTGCAAAGCGGAATCAAAAACCGACAAGTTTCGATTTCTACTGGTATTTTTGGGATTGTCCCACAGTTATGATAACCTATTTCACTAAATTTTAAAACTTTTAAATTGGTTTGACTCGATGGGATTGTCCGTTTTAGGGCCAAAGACACAGCGATGTGCAATCGTAGAACGCAGAATAAATGAAGAGGCAGGTTTACCGTATTGTGCAAATAGAGAGTTAAAATATTTGTATCCCACAAAGTAAAACTCTATGCTAGAGGCAGTAAATGTCTATTCTGGCTCTCAGTCACAAACTCACTCTCATGGAGAGCAGACGTGCCTTCACTGCCATCAAAGCAAGCCCAAAACATAACAAAAACCAGGAACAACACTTAGCAAATCTTAACAGTAACCACAAGTGCGCAAAGCAACTGTTCAAAACACAGTGACGGCGTGATGGGGAATTCCCCCGATCACCTCCAACCACAAAAACCTACCTACCCTTAATTGCTTATCATAAATAGATGCGGAGAGGTTGACGACTGCAAAAAACTTACAAACGGAACACTACTCAAACAAAAACAAACCTTCTAGTCAATAGTTTGCTGCAATTAAAAGCTGTTGCACACGACATTAAAATCGAAGTAGTGTCTCCACAAGACACTAAACTTAACCAAAGGTGTCATATATTCAAACGACCCAAGATTAAGAGCCGAAAACACTATTTAGAAAGAACTAGCTATTCAGGAAGTTTACGAAGTAAAAAATTAAAAAGAGACAACGGCACATTTAAAGAGATTTGTATCATAAAATTACATCTGGTTGTCATGATCTTCCAAATCATACTGAAATTGGCTATCAAAGGACCACGGTAAGGGAATACTTACCACTACCGTTAAATTGTGCCACTTGCACAAGTACTGCAACAACAAATCTGCTATAACTGCGGAGAAGACCACCACATAAGATAAATGCACAAGATCCCTAAAATAAATGTATTAATTACAAGGACGAACAATTCAATTACATCACAACACTACACCTCTACATAATACAGGACCTCAACAACTCAAAGGACCTAAACTCACACATTAAGGACAGACTTCTTCCCAGAAACAACCAAAATCATACGCAGACCTATTTACAGATAATAAAATAGACTCTTTAAATCCAACCCACTCAATCCCCAAACCAACCCAGTTGAAATCCCACCGCTCTCTACATCAAAACGTATGCTAGCAACTCTCAAAGCCGCAAACAAAAAAATCATATCAAATTCTACTAAACCTGGGCCAACCAACACACACACTTATAAACTAATGAAATGCCCAAATAATTCAATGGAACATTAAAGGTATCGAATTAAGAACTCAAATACTTATTGTTGGGACACTCACGGTCCCGGAGGGTTTCCACTTCTTCCAAGCTCTAGTTCACAGCATACAGATAGCTGAAATCTAATCAAATTATAAACATTTTTTCTTACACTTGTGGTTTCCCGCTCTTCAACTTCTAATATCATCACTTTCTTCTTCTTACATTCTTAAGTTTTCCAATAATAACAATAAAGAGATGACACTGACCAGCAGCGTTGAAAAACTTAACAGTGTTTTTAAACTAATAGACTTTAAATTTAAATAAATCGACTTTTGAAATTGGAGAGTTAGCGCGCGGCTAAACCTTCTTATTAGCCTCGCAACATTCCCCAGCTCGTGATTCTTTTTCTTGACTACGCAGAGTATTTCCAATCCTTATGATGTCCAATTTAGCCAGTTTAACTGTCCATCCATCGCCAAATGAACATCCACGACGATCCCTTTATGCAGGAGTTTCGCTTGCTTGTTTTATCAACAATAAGAACCACGTTATTCACGGAAATTGGAGCTGGGTTCGGCAGATACCATTTGAACGTCTCGTCAGGGTGGGTAGATACTCTCGAATCCATCTTCTCCAGAAACGATCTGCTAGTTGACCAGCGATGCGGAAATATTTGGCCAAGCCTAATCCGTCGGATTCCATCGCACCGCGTTCCCTTTGACCACTGGAGTTACCAACCAAGAAGTGGTTTGGTGTAAGAGCTTCCGAATTTTCCGATTCCAACGGAATATAGGTCAACGTCCTTGAGTTTAAAGTGCATTCGACATCGGCCAACGCAGCGCGCAATACTTCCGCAATACTTAGCGCAGTCCGACGTTCGACAGAATTTCCGTCAGGATTGACTTTGTAGAACCAAAGACCAATATAAACTCCAAGATGCGTAACACCATACGATTTTTTTGCACACGAATTTTTTGTGCTGGCTTTTCAACTGGCTTTTCGCTCTCTGCCCAAAAGCCAGCGAGAGAGCGCTCTAAAGCCAGCCGCTCTTTGCACGCATACTGCGACAGCCGACGAATGTATGTGTGCACATGTATTCACAAGCGAAGAAATTCGATGCAGCGCGCTGTCGAAATATACTCTTTATTTTAAAATTATAACATTATTAAAATTACTTATTTTGTATTGCCTTTATATTTACTTTATTTACTAATTATTCGAATGTATAATATTTTTTAGTAATGACCAAATATATCTAAGTATAAAAAAATAACATAATTTATTTCATACATGACTTCACGTTGGAATAATTGTCATTAGGGTATTCAGCATGCGACGTGTGAACGATTTTTAGGAGCCTCAGAAATTTTGCGATTGAACAGGATGAATATTTTTATGTTTATTGTATTTTAAATATATGGATTTAAAAATATGTGGTATTTTTATATTATACGTATTATAATAACATTATAAGAAATTATTATCATAATATAAATTAAATTTATATAAATATTTGTAAATTAACTATTTTAATTATTTAGAAAAAAAAGAAACATAAAGGGGAAAAATTAAAAAAAAAAATTCTAAAAAATATAACAAAACGCTTTCGACAACTTGGAAAAAAGTTATAAATATGTATGTACGTAATATTAAATATAAATAGGATATCCTGTAGCTTAGTTTTATAATTAAGCATTTAATTCGTGTTATTATAAATAGTTTAACTTTTTATAAAATAATAATATTAGCTTTAAATATTTATTAGGTATACAAAAAAAACGATGGATAAATAAAAATGAATATCTGCATATTAAATTAAATGTTTCGTTTTATATATTTAAATTAATTATAAAAACATACGTTTTAGCACAAAACATATAAAACTGCTTGAGTAAATAAGAATAGATTTAAATGCAGGTTGATAATATTAGATATGATGTTATTCGTATTTACTTAAA